TCGTCGCCGTCGTTCTCGTCGTCGTCGTCGTCGTCTTGGTCGTCGTCGTCGTCGTCGTCGTCGTCGTCGTCGTCGTCGTCGTCGTCGTCGTCGTCGTGGTGGGAGCCCCTGCCCGCGCGGATCCTCTGTTCCGTCAGGAAGACGCGGTAATACTAGCTGTGCTCCCTCAAGAAGTGATACGCAGCCTTGCACCGGTCCGTAGGCAGACTCGCTTCGCAGACCAGGTCCTTCTTGAAATACGCGCGCGAGAGCCCCACCTTCTTCCAGTTGAACTGGTGCGCGGCGCCATACCGCTCCTGCTGCACGGAGGTCTTCAATACGACGATGCTCAGAGCACGACATTCGTCCACGGTCATCTCGTGCATACAGGGTCCAGTGGTGTGGTCCAGCGAAAACTGCCCAAAGGAATGCCGAGGCCAGCTGATACACTCCTTTGCCTCGTAGCCCGACTTCGTGGCCAAGGGGATCCTATACAGCTCCGACGTCTTTGCTACCTTGAGGGCCTTGCCGTGGTTCTGCATTCGCCGGTTGAACTTCTCGAGAGGGGTCTCTTTGCCAGAACAGCAAGGGCATGTGGCAACCACAGGCGTATACATGCCTGGCTTATACCACCATCTCGAAGATATACCAACTTGGCCACAGGCGTGCACCACCGGGTCGTGCGGTACTTGCCGACGATACGCCGCCAGCACGTCTGGTTGCTCCGACGTGCTGCGGTCCTGATATACACGATTCGAGAAATACTCGTCATTAAAGAAGAACGAGCCGCAAGCCTCGCAAGCGGACCAACTCCCGTAGCACACCCAGAACGCAAAGTCCGTCAAATTATACTGCTTCTGGTAGGTGGCCTGGATTCTGGTGAGTAATGACATGGACCAAGACTGTCGCTGAAATACCTCCTGGCACTTCAACATGGCATACGCAGCAACAAGACAAGCGTCCGCCGCCATTTTCGGGAATACTATGCAACGGTCAGCTGTCGCCACGCTGCAAGCTCTCGCATACCAGCCGTGCTCTTTGTCGGAGATACACGCGTGCGCAGTCCTGGGCAGCACCTGGCCCTGGAAGGTCTTCTCGTAGGCCTCCAACACAGGGCCTGGCAGCACATCCTTGTATACGAAGGCATCCGGATACTCGAGAGCCAACCTGGCATGCCGTTCGTGTTCTCCAAAAAATACCGCAAGATTGTGGAAAGGCACCAACTCTTCCGCCACGCCCAAGCGGTCACATAAGGATATACGCACAGTCTCCAGAGCAGATCTGGCCCGGGCGCGCAGAGAGGGAGCAACCCCCCGGGTGTGCCCGAGCTTGCTATCCAGAGAGACGAAGGAATACAAGAACTCCCACTCGTGCTGCTCCAGGTGGTCGCTGGTCCAGTATTCGCCACGCTGCTCGCGATAGCGACGATACGCTATGAGCCGCTGCGTCGTCCTGCAATCATCGAGATACTGCGCCAGTAACTGCTTTTTCACCTCCTCGGCCGAGACGCCCTTCTGCAGCTGCTCCAGGACAAACTCCCCGCATACGTGGCGATGTATGTCCTCAGCATTCTCCAGTAGTGCGAGCTGCTGAGAGGGCGCCTTCAGCCACGTCTGAAGGTGAGCGCAATGGGCAAATACCCCGGTCTCCGCGCGATACTTGTCCACCAGCGCTCGCCCCCTCAAGCCTTCTACGTGATACCAGTACTGGAGGTCCCTGCGCGACAGCGCGTAGACGGCGGAATTGCCGTGTTTGGCACCGTCTACGAGGCGATACCTGCCAAGCCACTCTCGACAGACATTCTGACCCGTCTCATACCCCCAGGCCTTCAGACGCACCTGCATATTCCGGTAGTCGAGGCCAAGGCCCAGGTCGGAGACCTCCTCTCGATACCGCTTGCCGCATGCCGCCTCTAGAGCCTCCACCGTCATCAGCGTCATACGAACCACATCTGTGGAGGAAGAAGCTGCCGTGGCCTGCTGCTTGGATACGGGCTCCTCCCAGTCGACCGCGGCAGGCCGTTTGGCCACGCGGGCAGATCCGGCGGCGGCTGGCCGTTTCAATACACCGCCTGCGACCTGTGCCGCCGGGCGCTTCAATACACGCTTGGTGACGGCCTGGGCGGATGAAGCCGCCGCCTGCACGGAAGAGCTCACCGACGCATACACATCGCACCACTGTCTCAACACTCCTCGGGACACCAAGACAGCTTTCCGTCGCATACGCAACACGGCATGCAAGGTGTGGTACTTCAGCCCTGGATATACCGCGCGCATGTGGTCACCAAGTGCCGCGTCGAGCTTGTCAGCCGTGTCATACTGCAAAGGTCCGGAGTCAGGGTGATACTTCACGTACCATTGCCTCAAAACCATACCGCTGACAGCGACGGGAGGGTCGCTCTCCGAGAGAATCTGCGAGAGGACCTCCGCGGCGGCCTCGTCGGCAAAGCTCTCCCGATACTGATTGAGTCGAAGACGCTGGCCTATACATTCCTCCACAGCTTGGGCAGTATTCAATGCTCCCTTGGCGCCCCAGTCCGTGCTGAGCCACTTCTGACATACCCTGGCGTCAGCAGATACAGATAAATGTCCCAGGAGCCACTGCTTCAAGACGGCCCCGTCAGTAGTCCCCTCGGGCATGTCTGTGCGAATACGTTCTCCATACCAGGTCTCCAGATGGCCAGCGTTCTGCACTTTGACAAGCGTCTCTTTGGAAGAATACTGCAGTAGCCACATCTTTGCGACCCATGATCTGTCACATCAGTGGTGGATCCAACTGTCGGAGCGCCCCGCATAATTTGAAAGGTGTATTATACTCGATGCCCAGGTGGCGGATGGCAGAACCGTGCTGCTCCTCCAGCTCCTGGGCGCTAGAAATACTAACCTTGCCAGGCACAACCCGATACTTGCCCCACCAAGTCTTGCACGCCTGGTGACTGATCTGGATACCCTTTGCAACGAGCGCCTGATGCAAATAATACGGGCTCTCACAGTCGGCCAAGGGAGGCCGCGACAGCTCCGGGCCATACTGCTCGTCAAGGGCTTTCGCCGTCAAAGCCATGGACCATCCAAGAACACAGGCGATACCTTGATCCGAGATGGCTACGGATGTGCCAGTGATCAGTCGGAGGCTTCCTGGGGCCGCTTGGGGTCCTCTTGGGGAAGGGGGGAAGCCTCCTGGAGCCGCTTGGGGTCCTCTTGAGGGGCTTTGGGGGGCTTGTTGGAAGCATCTTGGGGCCTCTTGGGGGCTTATTGGCTCCTCACGGCGGGCTCTTGGGGCCTCTTGAAGGCCTCCTGGGGCAACCTATGGCGCAACCAGTAGGGGGACGTTTTATTCTCAGCGGCCGAGGGCGCAACCTATGACGCAACCAATAGAGGGGCGTTTTATTCTCGGCGGCCGAGGGCGCAACATATGGCGCAACCGCAAGGGATTCTGGCCCCTGGCAGGCGCGCGAACCCCGTTGCAAGAGCGTGCGAAAGTAGCTCGCGCGAGCTCATGTAACATAAATGTTGGAAAACCATTGGTTTTTTTAGGATTCGGACAGCGCGCGCGGGTGGAAATTTTGAAAAGTCGTGCAGGTGTTTTTCGAGGACCTACGGTGCGATTCGTGTGATTTTATGATGCGCGGTGCTAAAATTCTTAAAAACCCAATGGTTTTTGTAGATTTCGGCGTGCGCGCGCGAAGAAAAAACGAATGTGTCCCGCATGGTATTATTTGACAGGGATGATGGCCCTGGCAGGTGCGCAACCGTTGTCGCAGAAGTTCGAAAAAGTTGCTCGCAAAAGCCCGTTTGACAAAATTGTTTAAAAAGTGTTGGTTTTCCTACGAATCCGCAAGAGCGCGCGGGATGAGATTTTGACAATTTTTTTTTAAAAAACCATTGGGTTTTTGATGTTTTTATGTTAAAATCGTTCCGAAACCTAAGGTTTTGGAAGGATTTCGTCTTGCGCGCGCGAATGTCCACTTTACCTTATTTTTTGCAAGGGATTCTTGAAATTTGATTAATTAGAACAAGAAATTTCATTTTATAGTGTTTTTTGCAAGGGAAAACGGATTACAACAAAACAAACGGATCCGGTACCAATCCACTTTTCTGAAGCTTTCGCGAAAAAATGATGAAAATGTAGCTGCGGCCTAGGTTTTGGAGGGGGGTCGTGCACCAGGGGTCCCAACAATAATTATTCTTTAGAAGTAATAATGTTCAACAACAAACAGCAACAGCAGCAACACCAACAACAACAACAGTCCGTTTCTGGCGCCAATGTTGTACCGTTTTCGTTGCACCTGGTGGGGGCCGGGTCCACATCACACTTCCTGTCTTCCCGGCCCCCGAACCGTTCTTGCATTGGTTCCGGAAGTCGCCTTCGGACCCCCAGAGCGCCCAGGCCGCATATTCGGTGGACCCTCTTATCTGGCTCCTTTTTCAGCGAGCCGCTCTTCCTCCGTCTTCCTATATCGGGGAGACGTAAGACTCGGGTACGGGAGACTCGGGTTGGCCTGACGGGGCCATCATGAAAATGGCGAGACCCAATCTGAAATTTGACGCGAGCCCCCGCTGCAAGCACCCCACAAAAACTGGACCGTCAAGATCTGGGGCATGGCTCCTCAAAAAAAGCGAAGGCGAACCCGAGCTCTGGCGTACTCGAGTCTTACGTTTCCCCGAATTTCGACAGGTGGCACGTGCTTCAGAACTGCTTTGGACGCCCGAAATGGGCACGGAAACAATGGGCACAATGCTCAACAGCAAATGTTGTCTCGAACCAACAGCGGCCGCTGTTTGGCAGGCGGCCTTCTTTCTCGAATGGACACAGGCCGCGGCGACGCCGACAGCGAGTCCGGTTCAAAATGAACAGGAACTGCTATCGGTCTGTGTACCCATTCCTTCCGTGCCCATGTCGGTGGTCCCGAACTGCCCCACTGACACCACAAAAAAAAACACCAACTGACCGCTGACCGGCACGTGGGACAACCGGCCCCTGCCGCCTGCCCGGGGCCCGCCCACCCCTGGCGGCGGCTCGGCGGCCTCCAGGGACTCCCGGGCGTCCGCCAGGGCGCGGTCGACGGGAGCCTCACATGCGGGCGGCTCTGGGCGCGGTATAGACGGGAGCCCCAGAGATCTCCAACGCACTGAAAAAATCAAGACGGAGGTGTTTCGCAATTTTCGGCCTCTGGGGGCCCTCGCCGGAACCCAGGGCCGTCAAAAAACGGCTCGGGATGAACAACCGGTCCTGGGGAATGGGTCGAGACTTCCGGGGGCCGCGCATTGAAAGCATCGCTAACGGTCGGATCTCTGGGGAGGCGGCGGGAGCCCCTCGAGGCCGGCCCCGAGGGCCACTCCGGAAGCCACCCCGACGCTCTCACGCCGCGGCAGCGGCACGGGCCCACGCCGCGGCCGGAGGCAGCTGAGGGGCACCACGGGGCCTACGTGGGCACAGCGGAAGAAGGAAAGGCGCGAGCGGAGGGGGTGGGGGGCCGGAGGCGGCGGCGCAGCACGCTCAGGGCTCGAAGCTATGGCGCGAGTGTGCTGGAGCACAGGCTTGCACTGGAGGCCTCCTAGATGGAGTCCGAGCAGATGGGGTCGGAGGATCGTGCCGCATCGCCAGTTCATCGCAGATGCATCGGCGACGTATCGGAGACGTCGGCGATGCATTGGCGACGTCGGCGTGGAGAACATTGGTCTCGACATCGAGCCGCATCGCCGTTGCACGCATCGCCCGGTGCATCGGCGATGCGGCGCGATCCTCTGACCTCATCTGCTCTGACCCCATCTGAGAGGCCTAGATGCACAGGAGGATGACGGAAGAGTCAATGGAAAAGGGCATCGAACCGGTCCAGGGTGGAAAGAAGAGCACGGCGGCATCAAACCTGGAAGCCTGGCGCGGCGACTTGCGACCCAATCCGTGTCGGACCCACGTCGGGCGAACGTCGGATTTGCAGCGGATTCGCGTCGGCTTGACGATTTGCGTCGGACTTGTTTTGGAACACCGCGGCGCGAACGTCGTCCCAGATCTGACAGGGCGGTCGTGTGGACGAGACAATGCCACGATTGCGCGCCGCGCAATGCCTCCTGGATCTCTCTCATAGTTTGGGCCTCTGGTGGGCCTGACCAGGCCCTGGGGCCTTCCAATCACGACTCGGTATCACCCTGCCTCGAGAGATCCCCACTCGAGAACGCAAGGCGGGACACCCGAGGAACACTGCCACCCGTTGGGCCCAGCGGCCGCGGCATGTAACCGTCACTCGTCGAAGGCACGAGCCGCGGTACCCAGGGAGCACTGGTGCGCTTCGGGCCTGGCCGCCGCGCTGTGCAGGGTGTGCGAGGCGCGTCGGGAGCTCTTTTCTTGAGGTCTGAACGCCCCAGCCTGTCGGGTGGGGGGAGAGATGAGAGACCGGCCCCCAGGAGCGAAGAGCTCAGGAAGACCTGTAGGGAGCCACGCTGTGACCAACAACGCAGCGTCAGATGTCAGATGTCCCAATCGCTCCCGTTTCGTTGCGTTCCGCCTTCACATCCTCTTCCTTCTTCGCAATATCCTCCCCTTCCTCCTCCTCCTCTTCTTTCACCTCCTCCTTTTCCTCCTCCTCCACTTCCCCCCCTTCGCATCCGCCTCATCCTCCGCATTATGCAACGCCCCCTCCACATTCGCCTCCTCCACGGCTACGGGTGTTTCCTCCGCCCACTCCCCCTCCACTTCCCCCCTATGCGAAGAAGGCATCGCTTTCCGACTCACAGACCCGATGGACACATGCGAGACCTCCGCTCTTGCGCAGGATGGTGCTACCAGGAAGGCGAAGCAGCAGCGCCTCCTCTTCCTCCTCCTCCTATCAATCGTGCTCGTCTCTCCATCCCAAGACCTCGACGAAGGCGACGACAAACAATCACGACCCGAGCCCTAGACCCCATCCTTCTGCGGCTCTTTTAGAGCCAGATCGATATGTAACCCCGGGGCCCGAAACAGAGTCCAGTGAGCAACAAAAACAACATCGGATCTCGAAATATGTGGTATCTCAACCTCTCTTCTCTTCGCTTCTCTCCAACTTTATGTTGTATCGTCCACGGACCTTATCAATCCCACCGCGCCGCTTTTCAACCCGAATCCGCATTGAATCCATGTCGAACTTTTCGAATCCGCTTCGAACCCACGTCGAATCCGCGACGAATTTGTCTCGAAACCGCTTCGGTTCTGCATCGTCTCTGCTTCGAACACACGTCGTGCACTACAAAAGGACAACCGTGTACAGGACAGACGAGCCCCCCCGAAGTTACAACGTAACCAGCCCTCTTGTTCGATGGGGAACGATGTGGGACTGGCTCAGGGGGGGGACATCTAGCTGGAATCGGCGATACATCGCCGATGAATCGGCGATAGGCCAACCATAGCGAATCCGCAAGTTCCTAGGCGGAGTGGACTATCAGGCCCCGATCGGCGATAAGAATAGGCGATAAGGGGTCAATACATCCCCCCTGCTAAGCCTCAGATGCTCGTTCTGGGGACCTTCCTGGAGCCACTCGCTCCACTCGTGCGTCGACGTTGCGTCGAATGTCTGTCCACCTGAGTCGCACCTGAGTCGAACCTGAGTTGAAGTTGGGTCGAGCTAACGCCAAACTAACGTCCCACAAATCCTTCATGTGGCCCCCGGAACAAACACCTGAGGCCCGTCCTTGGCGGCACGCAGAATGGGGTAGAGGGGAAGAGGGAAGGCTTCTTAGAAGGCGCCTGCCCTGTATTCCTGAGAAGACCCGCGCCTTCTAAGAAGCAAGGGTGCTGTTTAGACGCCTTCCCCCTCCCCATACCCCCCTCTGTGCGTGGCCGACCCCCGATCCTGGGAAAACCGAAAGGTACCGATACCGCTACTCCTCAGAACTGTCCAACACTTGGGGCGAATTCAGCGGTAGCGACGAGGGCCTCCCATGAGGCCGAACAAGTGGAAGGCGAAAGAAGGGTAGCACGATACAGGCTCCAAATGGCCGACAACAGCGATTCCCCTACCGAAAACAGCGAACATGTAAAGGAAACAACCCTCTGCGCGTGGTCGACGTCCCTGGAGGCCTCCTAGATAGGGTCGGAGTAGCTGGGGTCTGAGGATCACGCCGCATGGCCGATGCATCGGCGATACCTCGCCGACGCATCGGCGACGCCAGCGTGGAGGACATCGGGCTCCACATCGAGCCGCATCGGCGATGCATCGGCGATTCGGCGCGATCCCCCGACCCCACCCACGCGGACCCCATCTAGGAGGCCCAGAGCGTGGCCGACGGCCTCCCCCCCCCTTTCGTCGCTACCGCCGTCGTCGTTGCTTTCGTCGTCGCTTTCGTCGCTTTCGTCGTCGTCGTCGTCGTCGTCGTCGTCGTCGCTTTCGTCAGCGCTTCCGCCGTCGCTTCCGTCGTCGTCGTCGTCGTCGCGACCACCGCCAGGAGCCAACACCTCTGCGCGTGGCCGACGCCCCCCCCCCCCCTCGGCGTGGCCCCCGGCCTTCCCGCCCGCCCCCGAGACGGGCGCCCCGCCGCCCCCCCCTGGCCGCGCTCCCGCGCGCCGGGCCGCCTCCGGCGCCTCGCCCGCCCCCTCGCAGGCGGCCTCCAGGACGGCCCTGAGGTCCTCCTCTGCGGCGCGGAAGGGTGCACCGCGTGGGAACCTTCTGTTGCATGCTCGGGGGGGGCCTCGTCGGCACCCCTCGGCCCTATCCGCACCGACTCGGTGTCGCATCCGTGTCGCACTCGTGGGACCCATGTCGAATCCGCGTTGAATCCGTGCCGAATCCACGGCAAATCCGAGTCCAGTCCCAATCGAGCCCGCGTCGGGCACAAGAAACGACACCAATTTTGGGGACAAGCGAAGTCCCCCGAAGATGCAACCTAACCCATGTGGCGCGAAGGGTGGGGCCGAACGAAGTGAACCCCCGCCCCCCCCTTTCGAAATCATAGGGGGTGGCAATAGGGTTCACATGTGGCCGCCGAGTGGGGCGCGCTCGTCCGGGCGCGGGGGATCGAAAGCCAAGGCCTCCGTCGAGCTCCGAATGCGAGGAGAGGAGGAGGAGGAGGACCAGTGTAAACCCAAGCGTCATCAACGATTTTGGAATTGACCCTCCCTCCAAGCTCCCTCTTCATGAACCCTACAACGGCTCATTTCCATTGAGGAACTGCCTCATGGGAAGACATACGTTTGAAGACCTCGAAACATGCCAACACATTATCCTCGGGATTTCCTCGCCAAGAATCAACCTGACTGCTGCGTCCTGACGATCTGGAATCGTGCCAGAACGTCATTTCTGGGACTTCAACACCGCGAATCAACATAACTGTTGCACCCACTTAAATCTGAATCCTTACAAAAACACAATTTCTGGTGCGTTGATCATGGGAATCAATGAAACTCTTGCAGATGTGTTCAACATGTGCGCAGCGCTAAACGCGAAAACCACACTTTGAAAAGGAACTGCCATCAATCAGTGAAACTCTTGCAAATGTTTACAGCGCATGCGCGCGGCGCTAAGGCGAGAACTACATGTTGAAAACCACCCGACCTCAATTCGCGAAACCCTTGCAATTGTTTAAATAAAATGTGCGCGGCGCTGAGGCGAGAATGACATTTTGAAAACGACCCGCCCTGAATCCGTGAAACTGTTGCAAATGTTGAAGTCGAATGTGCGCGGCGCTGAGGCGAGAGCCACATGTTGAAAACGACCGGCCCTCAATCCATGGAACTCTTGCAAATTTGGAAAACGAATGTGCGCGGCGCTAGTGCGAGAACCACATTTTGAAAATCACCCACCTTCCATCTGTGAAGCTTGTGTCATGTTTGAAGCGTCGGAGACAGAAGTGGTTAGGACGTCTCAGGCGAAACGCCCAGCCCGTCCTAAAAACTGGCCTCGGGCTGCGACTGGGAGAAGTTATGTATAAGGAAAAGGAATGGAGGAGGGGGAGGAGGAGGAGGAGGAGGCAACTCATGTGAGCCTCCCATACCAAATTGCTAGTTCTTGCGAATCGAAGCTCGCCGACGCTAATCGGCACGAGCTGGCCATTGCGAGCCAACGCTCACCGACGCGAACTGGCGCTAACTGATGCAGCATCGGCGCGGAGGGTTGTCGATTCTGGGGGGGGCGCGCCCCCTTCAGGTTCGACACCTTCTCGGCGCACCTCCGCGCGACGAAACGGTGCTGGGCGAGCTGGTATTGACGAAACAACAACAAACACCCATACCCAAAGGGGGGTCGGAGAGGGCTATGGGTGCGTGTTGTCGAACGGGGGTCCCCGCTCGAACGGGAGCGTTCCCCGGGGTCCGACAACCCGCACCCATACCCATAGCCAGTCCTCCTCCCAACGACCCCCCTATGGGTATGGGTGTGTGTTGTTCGTTCGTCAAGGATCCGAGCTGGCCCTGAGAGAGCAGATCCGACGCGGGATCCCGGAGGCCGCCCTCCCCACGCAGGGCGGGGCTGCAGGGGCGGAGCCGCACACAGGGCGCGGGGGATCGGCAGCCCGCCGGCCTCCGCCAGAGAGGAGGGGAGGCGAGGAGGAGGCGAGGCAGGGCGGGGCAAGGGGCCCTCGTACCGACAGAGGGCCCGCCTCGAACGTAGCCCTATCCCTGACAGGGGCGAGCAAAGAACGAGGACAATCTCAGGGAGATGCCCTCAGAAACTGAGGGATGCCTTAAGATCGGCATCGAGGTGAGGTGATGCCAAACATAGGGATACGGACATGCTTCAAACTGGTAAACGGAGAGCCAGCCGAGCAGGCAGGCACAAACACTGCACATGCTCTCAGCATGCACGGGATGAAGTCGTCTGGATCCGGGTGGCCGTGCACTGGCGGTCTCCTATCCGACCTGCAAGTGGGGAACACTCTGGCCATGGGACCGCCCGGGTACAATCGGGGCGTTGACCTAAGGAACCCTAAATAAGGAACGAGGCCCCTTTTGTCCCGTAAGTTAAACTTCGACTTCACATGGAAAACCTTAGGAACCCCCAAGGCAAACTGCAAAACAATCAAAAAACACAGTGCCCCTCCCCAACGGAAAAGGTTCCTTCTTCAACGCCCCAATTGTAATGCTGACTGCTCGAGAGGAGGAGGACGAGGAGGACGATGAGGGAGGAGGAGGAGCCAGCAGCTCCTGGGAGGTCTTCGTAAGAGCGACAAAGGGCGGGCCATGAAGCCCGATGAAAAGCCATTCAACCCGATTCGACCAAATCGAGCCCACGACTGAGCCATATCAAACGGGATTAAGCGGCACTAGGCAAGATTGTGGTGCATTCGGCTTGTTTTCGACCGCGGGTCAGCGCCGAAACCCAAGGATCTACAGAGTGCGAGAATGGAGGGAGAGGCGACGTATGAAGAGGGCCAGAAAGACATGTCCGCATCTTATGTCCTGAATTCTACCGTGGCGACGAGAATCCTCCAGGAGGCCCAGCAAAGAAAAAAAATACAAATCTCCCCCGCGAAGGGCCCAACCGTATGCACCGGTGATCACGCCATTTTGAGAATCGTTTTCAGTGGAGCTCCCTAGCTCCAAGAGGGCCCACGAGGGCCCCAAGAGAGGCCCAAGAGAGCCCAAAAACGGCCCCAAGAGTGCCCCAGGAACGCTCCAATAGGGGCCCGAGAAGCGATACTGGGGGCCTCCGAAGGGGGTGGCTAATTAAAGACCCCCCCCTTGTTTGCTCGAGCTCTTCCAAAATGGCACCAAAAACGCTCCCAAGGCTTCCAAGAACGCCTGAAGAGTGCCCCAAAAGGCGCCCACGAGGCCCCCAAAGGCGGCCAACAGCTCTCCAAAAGGCTCCCAAGAGACCCCCAAGAGGCCCCAAGAGGCTCCCCGAGGCACCCAAGAGCGCTCCAAAAGGGGCCCTTCCTATGTGTGCGGTCCACTACCCTGATCGAGGCCATTATTTTTGGGGGTATGCGGCAGCGCGACAACGGTCTGGCGGCGAGGGGCAAACTGGTGGGATTACTTTTTTTGGATTAGCGGCCCGCAAGGAACAGTCCAAGGGCGGTGTGACCGAGGCTGGGGCACAGCGCAAGATAATTAGCGCGAGAACGCGAGGAATGCACCTGCAAAACAAATTGTGAGGGAGGCGGCCACAATTGGGCAACCAACGAACACAAGCCGGACCCGCCGGTGGGAAGCCGGACCGGTACCCTGCCAGAAGAGTGCACGCAGACCCAAGCAAAAAACCGCTGGGCGGATGCCAGCGGAAGAGAGGCGGCCACAGGTGGGCAACCACAGGACACAGGCCGGACCCGCAGGTGGAACTGTTGGGGTTACGCGAAGCGTCAAGACTTGGCAACCTAAGTTTTTTCCCAAAGTGGCTCGCGCAACAAACATTGCACCAGCTAGGTTGCTAGACGTATATTCTCCTTTCTTTAAACAGAAAAGAATCGACCCCGCCACCCTCCCGAGGTCGGGATTACCCGCTAGATCTTACAGCGTACACTTGATATTGCCTCATCTTTTTGTGTCACAAGACCACATGTCGCCCCGACGAACATTATACAATGCGCGCGCGAATTGATCTACCAGAAACAACAAGTTTCAATCACACTTTTGCGGGAAAACTTGCAGCATCGGCGAACAACGCAAAATCCTCAAACGCGCGGTGTCGCGCACATTTCGAAACCCGTCCAAAACCCGATCTGTCGCACGGGACTCAATACCGATGTGTTCGGAATACAATTTAAAACAAACAAAAAATAAAATTCGTTGGCGCATGCCGGAAAAATGTGACCGCTTGCTCGCGGATTCACATTGATAGAAAACACACCTTGTCAACGGAAAGCCTCGCGTGCCTGTTGAACATGGGGGTCGGGATGACGCGGGCACTCTTGAGCGAATGCTGTGTGTGGGGGGGGGGGGGGGGGGGAAGGGGTGCGACCCCTGCCAAATCGTACCGCGCGGGCCACGCGCGCGCGTCGGCCGCGCGCGCATGGCACAATCCTCCCAGAACCTCGATCATCGACACATGGACATCATCGTCATCGGCGCTGAATTAGCATTGCCGTCGTCGCCGTCAGCGTCGCCGCCACCGTCGCTACGATCATCATCGTCGCCGCTATTGTCGGCACCATCATGACACCAAGCTCGCCCGATCCACTGCCCCGCATTGAAGCGCCAGCGCGCAGGCGCGGTCTTTGACGCGCGCTGGGGCGCAACCGCGGGTTACACCCATCGCGGCCGCATTGGCTGTGCAAGACTAGCGCGTCGCTCTGCGCGCGAGCGCGCGCGCCAACCCGGCCTTGTGTATTCGCCAGCCACGACCATGCAATCGCCACAATCGCCGCCGCATGGATTTTGCAAACCACGTCGCGCGTGGATTGATGCGAAGATAGCTCGCGCAGAGGCATTGACAACTCGCGGGCTGCTGCACCACGCACGCCCCCCTGTCTGAACGAATGTCCGGGTCTCCCCACCCCCCGCCCGCCAAGACATACCGGCTTCCTTTTGTTGCATACTTTGTCGTGTGATTCCGCGCGCTCGCCCATCCGAAACATGAGTTCACGCAATCCCAAGCAGAAGTTGTTCGCCGCCTTTCCCACCTCGCGCGCTGCAGACCATGCGACGCGCTCGCCCGTGCGTAACGGATCATCAAGTGAGCGCGCACTGTCGCGCACGCGTGGCCGGAATCCGTCAACAACCTTCGGCTCAGCGGGGCGCAGACATTGAGCGCCACGAAAACACGCATGTCGCATATCAAACGGCGTCGCACAAATCGCTTTCGCGGCACATGGCAAATGCGCCCGCGGCTTAGCTGAGTCTCAAGAAAACACTCGGTATCCGACGTGGCCTCCAAATGCTGCCAAACGCGCCGCTCGCGAACATGTGGGTATCATTCGAACGCCCATGCGCGAGTGCGATCGAGAGAATTCCCGGCAACCCATGGGGCGCGAAACGCGCGCGGTTTTGCAGCGCTACCTGTCAAAACTGCACGCGCGCTTTCGTGATGACTGCACGCTTGCTTACGCGAAAAATTTGTTCCTCAACGATGTCACCAAATTCAGCCATGCGGGCCTTTCAAGTAAAATGACCCAATCATCCGGTAGCCCTTGCGCGCATGCTGGGGGGGGGGGGGGGGGGGCGCTCGCGAACGCCAACCGCCAAACGCGCGTCGAACTCTTTCCCGAACCTTCATTGCCGACGCGGGGGCGCCGTCATCGTTACCGGAGTGATCAACATCGGCGCCGTCATTGGCCGCGCCGTCGTCATCGCCCCCATCGTCATCCTCATCGCTACTATCCCCATCGCATCTACCATTGTCGACATGGCCATTATTGGCCATGGTGCCGCGCCCGCCCAAGTCACTGGCGTAGCACTGACGGGTCCGCTTGGAAGTGCCCAGCGGTCAGCGCCAAAGCGGCCGCGTCGGTCGCGCCAAGATAGCTGGCCGCTCTGCGCGCGACCCCGCGCGCGTTATCGCGGCCGCGGAGTCAAAGCACGCCAAGCATTCATCGCAACCGCCACCGCATCGGTTTGGCAAACCAAATTGCGGGTGGGCGGTTGGGATGCGTGCGCAAGCAGTGGAACGGGCAACTCCAAATTGTTGAGAATTACTAGCGCCTAAAAAAGAACGTCGCGTAGCAGCCGCCAAACAGGTTTCACATAGTTTACACAACATGGATTGCACCACATCGGTTGCGCCACATCACTTGCACCGCGTAAATAGCACACATCATCAGATTCCCCTGGAAATAATTGAAGCCCGCCCCCCGGCAAATCGACCCCCCAAGGTCAATGTAGTTTGCATTTGGTGCCGCTCCATCGATCATGTTAAATGCGACTTCGAACCGTTCCAGCCAACCCCCCACCCTTGTCCAATAAAAAACTACGCGCACGCTCGTCAAACCTGAACTATACATCCATTACAATCCAGCGCGACCGCACTGGGGCAATGTCCACAAGAGCGCGTCGCCACGCGCAAGTGCCAGATTTATACAAAAACGAACGTTAATGTCCGGCAAGAATTTCAAGATCGAGGTCCCCGAAAACAACATGAGAGAACAAAAAAACAACCAATTGTTTGGCAACGCGACGAATCGCAAACAATTCGCCCGCGCGCCCAGGCGGCATCTCGGGGGTGCCAAATGCGGTCACATCGGCCCTTCGCGCCCGCGCGCGCGTCGAATTTGGGGGGTGCATGATTCCTGTCCAAAAAAAAGCAGCGCGGGGCACTCGCGCGCGTCGGCCGCGCGCGAATGCCCAGATCCTGCCAGGATCTTCATCGCCGACCAGTAGACGCCATCACCGTCGTCGGCGTGACCAAGATCGGCGCCTACAGTCGAGTTGCCGTCGCCATCGCCATCATCGCCGCCGCAGTCGCAAGTGCCATCGTCGGGTCTGATTGTGTCAACGCCACCTCGGTGCCGCAACCGACCGGCCCACCGACTGGCACTGAGGCGCCTGCGCGCCAGCGCGGCCTGCGAGACGAACTGGGGGAACCCCGCCGGTCAGCGCCACCGTGGCCGCGGCGATCGCGCAAACCTGCCCAGCCGCTCTGCGCGCGAGATTGCGCGAGCAAGCGCAATCGCAACAATGGACTTCGCCGCGCACTCATCGCAGTGATCACCGCGCTGGTTTTGCAAACCACGTAGCGGGCGGGAAGGTGGGATGATTGCGCGAGCAGAGGGGCTGACAACTCCGAGTTTTGCAGGAAGTGGGCCGCGCCGCGCACATGACTGCAAAGAATTGCTTGCAACACGCAGTTTGCGCACATTTTTATTGCCCGAAGTGGATTGCGCCACGTAGCTCACACCACATACATGCTCAAATCTAAAAAGAAAAGTTGTTCCCACCGATGTATCGACAGCCCCATGTCACACTGCAAGGTGCACAATGTTTTGCCCCATCGCCAAATCTAACACCAAATCACACTATCCCATGGGGATGCCCCTATTGACCCCCCCACTATACCCCTGTCAAATAATGTCCGGCGCGCGCGTTCCCGAACCAACGAAAGAGACAACCTAGAACCCCTTGCAAAGCACGTCGCCAAATCCATGCGCGCGCAGTCGCGCGCGCATTCTGGATTCAGTGAAAAATCCTACAGGTTTGGCAAATATCTCAAGATCGAAAATCCCAAGCACAAGAAACAAATTGTTGTGTCAACGTATTACGCATGACGAAATACGCGCGCACGCTCTAAAATCATCAATTCCGTCCCATGGAATCGCGATGGTCTCCCGCGCGCATGTCAGAATCATTTGAAGGCCCTTGCGCGCTTGCTGGGGGGGGGGGGGGGGAGCGCGATGCCTGTCAAACGCGACTATGCGGGCCATTCGCGCGCGTCGGCGGCGGGCGCGCGCGTCTAAATACGTCCAACAACCTCGTCATCGACACATGGGCAGCATCGTTGTTTTCGGTGTGATCAGCATCGGCGCCGTCAGTGTCCTGGCCTTCGTCATCGCCATCATCGCTTCAATCATCGCTATGGTCATCATCGTTTCCGCCGTTATCGACGTCACCATGATACCGCGCCCGCCCGGGCCACCGACTCGCACTGAAGCGCCCGCGCGCCATCGAGGCCTGTGAGGTGCGCTGAGGAAACACACACCGGTCGGCGCCACAACGTCGGCGTCGGCTGTGCAACACGCTCTAGAATAGCAGAAGAGATGATCAATCAAGTGCCAAGCAAGCAACGCCATCGCCGCCCCATGGGTATTGAAAACCATGATGCGGGTGGTAACGCGGGATGCTTGCGCGAACAATGGGGCTGACAACTCCAAGTTCCGCGCAGTGAATTGCATCACGCAAATTGCACCATGAAGAATGAAAGAACTCACCGTGTGTACTTGTATGTCTATATGTCGACTTGTATCTATGCAGAATGCAAGAATGTGTCTATATGTTTACTTGTATGTTTGTGGCCGTATGTGTTTTCCTGCCGCTACCACTTTCATGCATTACATACATATATGCACGTACCGAATGCTAGACATGTACAAGCATACATGTACAAACATACAAAACACTTCAAGGTGTACATGTATATCATATATATGTGCGTATATACGTAAACGTACGAAAATACCAATCACTGGGACAACCGTCGTATGTACCCATCTAGATGGCCTATCGGTATCAGCATATGTTGGTCTGACGGTGAACATACCGATAGCACTACCACTGAATGTGTTGTAGTCCCATATATCAGGGAAACAATCGACACAAACACACACACACACATCGGGACAAGCATCGAGAGAATTATCGGGAACAACATCGGGACAATCATCCAGGCAAGCATCTGGTCAACCCTTTGGACGTGCATCGGGAACGCATCGGGACAAACAACAAAACAATCAGTCTGGACAACTATCTGGACAAGCATCGGGACAACAGTCGGGACAAACATCGGGACAACCCTTAAGACAAACATCGAGACAATCCCATCGGGACAACGACCCATCCAGACAACAATCGGGACAAGCATCGGGAAAGCCAGCGGGACAACCATCGGGAAAGCAATCGGGGCAACCATCGGGACAGCAAACGGGACAAACTCGAGACAAGCATCTATCATCCCTCGTTCGGTCTCACTTTCGACCGATCTCACGATGTTTCGAACTCACTGCCTCTTCTTAGAAGTCCATCGATCTTCAAATCTGTGAACGTCAGACCTATCCATTTGCACGGCGGGAACAGTGGGTTCCCTTAGGCCGTGCAAGTGGTAACTCCTATTTCACTGTTTTCTATGGTTTTCATAGCTGCAGCTCCTCTCAAGCTGGTGTTCAGTGATGTGGTATAGGTGGTTTGTTGGCTGTCTATTGGTTGTCATAAAATGTTTCAATATTGTGCCTCACATGGCAAATGTGCTGCATGTTGCCAGCAAACGGATTGGTTGTTGCCCGGCAAGGGGCATTCGTAATAGGTTGCCCCAGAGAGCGCGTTATTTGGTAGAGTGGCATAGCCAAAAAAATGCTTGGGAAATCATGGGCTCGCATAGGGCAAGTCTTTGGTGGTTTGGCCTCGCAACGCCCATGTCTCGGCATCGGGACCACGCAGAGCTCAATGCTTGTCGCATGGTCTCGAAAAAAGCGTGTTTTGGGTATCATGACCTCGCAGAACCATCGGGACAAGTATCGGGCAAACCGTTAAGACAAACATCGAGACAATCACATCGAGACAAACATTGGGACAACGAACCATCGGGGCAAACAATCGCGACAAGCATCGGGACAACAATCGGGACAGGCATCTGGACAAACATCGGGACAAGCATCGGGACAACCATCGGGACAGCCGTCGAGACAATGATCGGAACAAGTATCTGGACAAGCATCGGGACAAGCATCGGGACAAGCATTGGCACAAGCATTGACACAAGCATGGGGACAACCATCGGGACTAGCATCACAACCACGCGCCACTGCCGCCGCGGGGGCGACTCAATGTTGCTTGAATGGTCAACTACAAGGGGAAGAACTCGAGCAGCTTCGCCGCGCCTTGCCCGCACGCACGTCACGAACCGAAACCAAACTCAAAGTCCTGGTCGGGGCATCTCACGTTTCAGTTCGGTCCCCCCTCCCCCGCAACCTCCGATCCAAGGCCCCGCAATCTGGACTCCTGGTCCGCGACCACGGTGACATAGAGCGGCTTTGCGCGGATAGCCCGCGCGGAACTTATCCATCATGGGATCGCGTGTCAATGGGATCCCACACCCCGGCATCCTGCCGGCGAGGGCATGGGTATGGAACGGTATGGATATGAATTCACTTTCAGCGCACCTGGTTGGGAGAAGGAGGGGGAAAGCTGAGGAGACGAACACCGACAGAAGCCTCGAACATACGAGAGGCACATCTTCTGCGGCGCATCAAAAACATCCGAGGCAGCCTCAGAAAAAAAGTGATGGCAGTAAGCAGCAGCAGCAGCAGCAGCTGGGGCACGAATCTAGATGTTCAAGTCGCTCTCTTTTCCACCGAACAGGTACCCGCGACTGTTGCCACCAGTCTAGTCAATGCATGTCGAACGGTCGGTCGTGCGAGGCGAGCTCGCGATGTCGGTCTAGCGGACCGGCCCTCGAAGAGGGCAGCGCGGGGGGGCCAGAACCCCCAGGAGAGGTGTGGTGTGGAAAAATCGCAAAAGAGAGCTTGAGCGGGAGAGATGGAAACCAGAATCGGAAAGACGACCTATTGCCGAGAGATGGGAGCTGGAGTCGGAGAGATGGGAGCAGGAATCGGAGAGATGGGAACTAGAAGCGGAGAGATGGGAGCCGGAATCGGAGAGATGGGAATCGGAAAAACGGACGCCAGAAACGGTGAGATGGAAACCGGAATAGTCGGTCGGAAACGCATTGGCACCGCACCCAGCTAGATGAAAAGGCTGAGCGATTAGCATTCCAGGCGTTGCATTAAATGTCCAGTCCATTCACACATTCAGAAGTCTGCGCAGCATCTGGACAAGATAGTTGATGCTCGCGCACGCGTCATGGATAAACGACGCATCACAAGCGCCAAGGGGCGTTGGGAAATAGTCGTGTCCATGCGGCTTGAAATGATGGCCAATCTCATGCGCTGTACGCACAATACATACATAGAATTGCGACATGGGCCTGGCTGATCAGCCCGTGACCTCCTACGTGGACAACTTGACTGACCACCAATCGCAGTCCTGGATATCCACAGAGCGAATTGAAATCAATATCAAACGCTGCACTCGCAACACATAAAGAGCATTGTGACACGGACCGGGCTGATCAGCCTGTGCCCTGTACAGGCCTGAGAAGCCTAAGAATACTCGACCAGCTCCTCCCTCGCCTCCTACAATTGGTTCACCTCTTCTCCACTCCTCTCCAATCTTCGCTGCCTTTTCCTCCCCACTCTTCCCCTCGAGCAGGTGGCCGCAACCAATGTCGAGCCCCGCTCGGCCGAGGAGAACTACCGCCTGCTGGGGCATAGGCCAACGCTGCCCGTTGGCCAATGCTGCCGATGCTCGGCGGCGAACCCGGGGGGACGTGAGAGGTAGCGGGCCTTCTCGGAAGGCTCAGAAGAAGGCCTCGGGCTTTTTTGCGCAGCTCTCTGAGCCTTCCCAGTGGACGCAGGAAACCTCTCGGAAGGCTGCAGCGCTTCCGAGTAGCCCCGCCGCCTGCTGGGAAAACCGTCTCCTTCTCGCTTCCCCCGTCGCTCGCCGCCGATATGCCTCCAGGGCATGCCGCGAGGCCGACGGTCGACCTGGCCCCTCCTCCCCCTCCTCCTCCTCCTCCGCCTCCGCCTCCTCCTCCTCCTCCGCCTCCTCCTCCTCCTCCGCCTCCGCCTCCTCCTCCTCCGCCTCCTCCTCCTCCTCCTGTGACGGTGAGGCAGACAGGAGTGGTGCTGCCCTCGTCCGCCTCCCAGGACATGGCTTCCTTCGTCGCGCCGTGCAGCGGGCTGCACCTGTGGCCGAGCGCCGCCGCACGGACCTCTCCGGCGTCCAGAGGCATGCCCACGCCGGTGAGCCCGCGACGTCCAGTGGCCCCGGTACTTCGTCTTGTCTGCGAGGGTCGGGAGGTAGGTGTTGGGCCTGGGCAGGTGGCGGCTGCCCTCCCCCTCCTCCTCCTCCTCCTCCGCCTCCTCCGCCTCCTCCTCCTCCTCCGCCTCCTCCTCCTCCTCCGCCTCCGCCTCCTCCTCCTCCGCCTCCTCCTCCTCCTCCCCCTCGCCGCGGGGGGCTCCGGGAGCCCGCGAGCGCCGCGCGCGCGTGGGGCGCCTCCACGCGCGCGGCCGTGTGCTCGCGCTCCTGCTGGGTGCCCGCCTCCGCCTCGGATCAGGTCGGGCACGTCCTCCTACAAGCGGCTTCTGGGAACGAGAAAAACAAAAACAAGAAAACAAAACAGCGGGCATCGTCGAAGCAGCGTCAAACGTAGCCAACAAAAACACGAGCACGTGTCACCATACTCGATTGTTAAGCATGCTCGAAGATTCCTCCTGTAGAGGGACATGCCCGACGCAAGCCTCGGAGCGCGCCGCGCCCGCGGCCGTCACGCCCCAGCGTCGCCCGGCGAGTCCACGGCGAGCCCCGAGGCCAGGACGAGCAGCGCGAAGCGGGCCGCCATGGCCGTCACACCTCGGAGAAGATGACAGCACGGCAGCGGGTGCGCGCACGGGCGGGCTGCTTGAGCCGACGCGAGCTTGAGCCAAAGATCCGACGTCGTCCCCAGAAGTCCCGACCCGGTCCCCAGGGCCGGTTCTTCATCCCGAGCCGCTACTGATCGTCCCGGGGCTCGGCGAACAAATCTCCGTCTTGATTTCTTCGACACTTTGAATTGAAGGGGCCCTGGGACATACAAGTAAACACACACACACACAAATAACAGGATCCCCCATATGTCTCCATATGTCCTGGATCTTCGTCTTCCCCCCCACTTCCCATACATCTGCATATTTTCCTGGGAATCGACGATTCTTTGTGTCTGTGTCTTTGCCCAATCAGAGCTTGCCTCTGTAGGGGTCCTAGCGGATTCATATGGTTAGGTTAGGTTTGCCGCCGATTTTCGCGGCACGCCCGGGTGCCCGGGTGCCCGGGGGTGCCCGGGGGTGCCCGGGTGCCCGGGCGTGCCCGGGGCTGCCCGGGGGTGCCCGGGGCTGCCCTATAGCCCAATAGCCCTACAACTCCATAGCCCTATAGCTCTATAGCCCTATAGCTCAATACCCCTATAGCCCTGTACGGCAGGTTCGTGTCGTGCCGACCCCAGCGTTGGTTTTTGACACCGCAGGGATCGTTCAACCTTGAACGATCGGCCACTGCCGCAACGTCCGATCGTTCAACATCGACCGATTCTGGGTCGCCGGCGGCGTTCAACCTTGAACGCCCGCGCTGGGGTCGCCGCCGGTCGACACGACGCAAACCTACCGTAGCTCTATAGCCCTATAGCTCAATAGCCCTATAGCCCCCTAGCCCTATAACCCTGATTGGGGTTTTTCTCCGGTATCACTTCTTCCCTCCTGCTGGATCTCTGCGGCGGTGGCGCCCCACGGCCCGCCTCCAGACGCTCCCGGATGCCGGCGCCCACGGCCACGCCCGTGGAGTCGGCGCCGCCCAGGTTCTTCTGCTCGCGCGCCTGGGGGAACCGTCGGGGCGATGAGCTAAGGAACAAGGAGCCCTAAGTAAGGAGCGAGGCCCCTCTTTTTCCGTAGGTTAGACTTCGATGTACCATTTTGAAGACCTAAGAAAACCCAGGGCAAACTGTGAAAAACAATGAAGGAACACGGAGCCCCTACCCAATGAGAAGGGTTCCTTCTTCAGCGCCCCGACTGTACGATGCTCCAACCTACTTTTAGCCTTGATCACCAGGAAGACTTTCGAGCGCACAAGCACGTGACGAAACGCAAGGGTTTTCACGTGTCGGGCCCTGGGAGACACTCGCCCGACACTGTCTCGACATTGTTTCGACACTCCGCCTTAATCCCCGTCCCCGAGACCGGTGCGGGAGTTTCGACGAAGCCCTCCTGAAACCTTCCTGAGGAAGGTTTTTCTGTAATTAAGGTTGTTGGAAGGTTTTCCCAGGGGGGGGCGAGAAAGGTTTTAGGAAGGTTGTTTCCAAAAACCTCCCACTAAAACCTTTCAGAATTTAACGAAATCAGCCCAACACATTCCAAAACACTTCCACCAACCTTCAAAGAAAAACCTTCCAACGAACCTTCCAACAAAAAAACCTTCCAAACAACCTTCCAAAAACCTATGAAACAAATTCAAAAAAAAACCTTCCGTAAACTTTGAATAACCTTCCAAATAACCTTCAACAACCTCCCTAAAACCTTCCTCAGGAAGGTTCCAGGAGGGGTTGGCCCAAAAACCTCCCAAAAACCTTCATGAGGTTTTCGGAAGGCTTCAAGAATCAGAAAAAAACCTTCCTGAGGAAGGTTTTAAGAAGGTGTTTTGGAAGGTCCCAGGCATGATGGAACCTTCCTGAGGAAGGTTTCAGGACGGTTTTTTTGGAAGGTTCCAAGCATCCTAACACCTTCCTGAAGAAGGTTTTATGAAGAAGGTTTCTGGATAGTTTTTATATATATATATATATGTATCCCCGAACCTCCAGGAATAAAATTGTAAGAACGTTGCCGGGGAGATTTTTCCACAACCATCCAAACAACTTCCAACAACCATCCAAAAGAACCGTCCAAACACCTTCCAGAAACCTTCCTAAAACCCTCCAGCATTTAACGAAACCACCCAATACATCCCAAACTAATATTATATTATATATATACCCACAACAAAACCTCCAAAACAAACCTTCCAAACACAACGAACAAACAACCTGCCACACAACATTCCAACAACCTGCAAAACAAATCCAACAAAATCCTGCCGAAAACCTGTCAAACACCTTCTAAACAAAAAAACGTCCCCAAACCTTCCGAAAACATTCCTCAAGAAGGTTCCAAGAGAGTTGGCCCAACAACCTTCCAAACACCTCCCTGAGGAAGGTTTTAGGAAGGCGTTTATTTGAAAGGTTCCAGGCATCCTGAAACCTTCCTGAAGAAGATGTTAGGAAGGTTTTCCCGACAACCTTCCAAGAACCTTCCAAACAACCTCCCAAAAATCGGCCAACAACTATTCAAACAAACCTTCCTAAAAACCTTTTTTCCGCAAACTCCCTAAAACCTTCCAGCATGTAGCGAAACCGCCCAATACGTCCGAAAAGCCGGCCAACAACCGTCCAAACAACCTTCCAACAAACCTTCCAACAACCTGCCAAACACAAATTCAAAAAAAAACCTTCCAAGACAAACCTCCCAAAAACCTTCAACAACCTTCTTCAAACAAAACAACTTCCAAACACCTTCCTAAAACCTTCCTCAAGAAGGTTCCAAGAGGGGTTGGCCCAAACACCTTCCAAAAACCTTCCTGAGGAATAGTTTAGTGAGACTTTTTGGAAGTTTCCAGGAATCCGGAAACCTTCCTGAGGAAGGTGTCAGGAAGGTTTTTTTGTTTGGGAAGGTTCCAGGAACCGCGGAACCTTCCCTAGAAAGGTTTTAGGGAGGTTTTTGTTGGGAAAGTTCCAAGAATCCTGAAGCCTCCCTTAGGAAAATTTTAGGACGGATGTTTTTTGTAAGGTCCCAGAAATCCCGGAATCTTCCTGAGGAAGGTTCAGGAAGGTTTTAGGAAGGTTGCTCCAAACACCTTTAAACAACCTTCCAAACAACCTTCCAAACACCTTCCAACAAACCTGCCGAACACCTTCCGAACATCGTTCTCAAACCTTCCAGCATTTATCGAACCCGCCCAATACATGCCAAAAGCCTTCCAAAACACCTTCCAGCAAAACATCCCAAAACACCTTCCAAAAACCTTCCAAAACACCTTCCAACAACCTTCCAAACAATACAATGTTAGGAAGGTTGTTCGGAAGGTTCAAGTAATCCTGGAACCTTCCTGAGGAAGGTGTTAGGAAGGTTGTTTGGAAGGTTCCAGGAATCCTGGATTCTTCCCGAGGAAGGTTTTAGACGGTTTTTTCTTTTGGGATGGAAGGCTCCAAGACTCCTGGAACCTTCCTGAAAACAATGTTTTTAAAAAAGGTTGGTTGGACGGTTCCAGGAATCCCGGAACCTTCCTGAGGAACGTTTTAGGGAGGTTTTTGTTTGGGGGGGGGGAGGTTCGAGGAATCCTGGCGTAGAGGCTCTCAATAGGAAAATGTTCGTATGGGCTCTCAAGAAACATCCTTGTGCATTGGCTTTCAATTGGAATCCTTTCGTGGAGGCTTTCAATGGGAATCTGTTTGTAGAGGCTCTCCATAGGAATCCTTTTGCACAGGCTCTCAATAGGAATCCATGTGTATTGAGTTTGATTAAGAATCCCACCAGCCCTCTGGGCGTCGGTGGTTTAGAGCGTTTCCTCTTCCACCCCTCCTTCTTCCCCTTCGGGGAGGGGTTTACCCCTCCCCCTACCCCCTCCCCACTGACCTGGACAGGGGGGGCCGCGGGTAGTTAGAGCGTCCAAGATGGCCCAACACGGCACCAAGAGAGCCTCAGGGAGCTCAAAATGACCTCCAAGATGGCTCCAGATAGCGCAAGATGCCTCAAGATGGTCCCCATGATGTTCCAAGACGCTCCAAGAGCTTCCCAAAACGGGTCCAAGTGCTCACAAGAGCATCACTAGGATGCCTCCAAGAGGCCAAAATGCTTCAAAACCCTAGGGACAATTAATGTTTTTGGTGTTCTCACTGTTTCGCTTGCGATGCGCATCCGAGGCGTCAAGATGGCTCTAAGATGGCTCAAGATAGCTCCAACAGGGGCCCAAGAAAGCCCCAAGACGGCGCCAAGAGCGGCAACGAACGCTCCAAGAGCACCCCAAGAGGGGTTCAGGAGGCGATGTTAAAGGCTCTACAAGGGCGACGCTAAAAAATGCTTCCGCTTTCTTTGCCAGATCCCCTCCACCATGGCTCTACCAGCGCCTCTGAGGCCTCCAAGAGCGCTTCAAGAGCGCCCCAAACGACGCCCAAGAGGCCTCCAAGAGGCTCACAAGGTCGTCAAAGATGGGCCAAGACGGCTACCTGAGAGCCTCGGGAAGCCCAAGACACCTTCCAAGATGGCTGACGATTGCGCGACCTGCCTCAAGATGGCTCCGACGATGTTTCAAGACGTTCCAAGACTGCTCCAAAACGATTCCAACAGGCTGGCTCAAGATAGCGCAACCTGCCTCAAGATGGCTCCGAAGATGTTCCAAGACGCTCCGAGACCGTCCCAGGACGATTCCAAGTGGCCATATGAGCTCTCCAGGATCCCCTTCCCCCTCGCCTACCTATTCCTCCTCCTCCGTCATCCCCCTCCCCTTCTTTCTCCTTTTTCCACATCTTTGCAATATTTCCCATAATCCCACCAGCCCTCTGGGCGTCGGTGGTTTAGGGCGTTTCCTCTTCCACCCCTCCCTCTTCCCCTTCGGGGAGGGGTTTACCCCTCCCCCTACCCCCTCCCCACTGACCTGGACAGGAGGGGCGGGGAGCGGTCAGAGCATCCAAAACGGCCTCGGCGAGGAAGCCAAAATCAGTGATTTTACTATGGTTTTGGCCCCATGTTGGCCTTCTGAGGGGGCAGCGCTAATTAGAGCTCCCCTCTTCTTTGATCGATTTCCTCCACGATGGCCGCAAGAGGCCCCCAGGATGCCCCAAGAGGCCGCAGGATGGCCCCAAGAGGCCCCCCAAGAGGCCCCCAGGAGGCCCCCAAGAGACCCCCAAGAGGCCCCAAGAGACCCCCAGAGGCACCAAGGGGCAAAGATGGCCCCAAGAAGCGCCCAGGAGGCCCCCAAAGGCCCCAAGATTGCCCCAAGAGGCCCCAAAAGGCCCCCAGGAGGCCCCAAAGAGGATCCCGAACGGCCCACAGAGGCCCCCCCGAGGCACCCAATACGCCGAAAAGCCCATCAGAACGACCCTCTACTCGCCTGGGCGTCGTTTCTGGACGGGCTGGTGGGGATACGCGAAGCGTCTAGAATTATGTTGTACTGGTTTTCAATAGGAATCCTTTTTGCAGAGAGTCTCCATAGGAATCCTTTTACAAAGGCTTTCACTAGAAATCCTTATGTAGAGGCTCTCAATAGGAATCCTTTTGTAGAGGCTCCCAATAGGCATCATTGTGTGGAGGCTCTCGATGGGAATCCTTTTGTGGAGGCTCTCAATGGGAATCCGTTTGCTTTGGTTTCCAATCGGAGTCCTTCGGTGGAGGCTCTCAATAGGAAACCTTTTGTAGGGCTCCCAACAAGAATCCGTTTGAATTGGCTTTCAATAGGAATTCATGTTGCAAAGACTCTCAACAGGAATCCTTTTGTGGAGTCTCTCCATAGGAATCCTTTTACACAGGCTGTCAATAGGAAGTGTGTATTGGGTTTCAGTAGGGTTGAGTACTGGGCGTTGTCTCGGGGACGGAGGCTGTTGACTACAGGGTGTTGTTTTGGAGACGTAGATCGTTGAGTACAGGGTGGTGCGTGCTACAGAGAAAAAGAAACGGCGGGCGGGCGGCGGGCGGGCGGGAGCTGGCGGGCCGGCGGGCGGGCGGCGGGCGGGCAAGGATTTAAATAGACTCCTTGATGACTCTCTCCTGCAGCGGGAGCCTGTTGAATATTGGG